TGACTTGGTAACCGTAGTGATCTCTAATGAGCAGACAGGCATGGGTTGTGTCTATCACACTATTGACCCTTGTTCATCCTTTATCATTTTGTACAAAGAAAGCCTGGAGACTAATGGAAAAACATTATGGAGCTTTTATCGATCTCTGCTTCTGACTGTGAACTGTAGCTAGAGACTTGTTAAGCTAAATGAGCTCAACTGAGACTCAGGCTGTCAACATTTGTGCAGAACCTGTACATTAGCTTCTGGGTCTGCAGGGGTTGTCTTCTGATGAGGCATAAACATTGTACATGCACAGTTTTGAATTGAGCTTTCTGGCAGTTATATGAAAAGAGCATGCTTTTAATTTTAAAAAAATATTTGTAGCACTTTTGTTGTTTTTATTTCGAAAGTAAACATGTTTAGAATGTATTATTAAAAACTGCGTGTGTGTGTGTGTGTGTCTGTGTGTGTGTTTACTTAACATTTGGCAGCATTCTTCATTGTCAGTGAATGAAATGGTAGTTTGCTGTTTTGTTAAGTGGGCAGTGTTAATTTCACTTCAGTGTCCCTTGTGGTTGGAGATACTGGAGCAGAATCTTGGTAGGGATTAATATTATGGAGCAGTGGTTCCTAACATGTGGGCTCCAGGCTAGCAGGACTAGCCTCACTTGGGAACTTGATTGAACTCCTCCTGTTTCAGGTGGTTCTGATGCATGCTGAAGTTTGAGACCCCTGTGATAGGAACATGAGCCTAAAATCAGTAATTCTCTAGGAGATAAGAAGAAGATGGGGAGTGTCAGCAGCACCTGGGTTTCTTCTTTTCCCAAACTCACAGCCTCTTTCCTCCACTCTGCTCCTCCTTCTACTCCCATCATTGCACAGTAGCCATTCCTCTGGGACTCCTACACAGCCTTTGGGGGTGTTGGGGTAAACGACTGGACTAAATGAGTAACATTTTAGAGCTGATCCATCATCATGGAATTATGTCTTGACCTTGTGACATTCTTAGGATACTTGTTAATAAAGATTTGTACATTTTGCTGGTCTTTTTGTTTGTTTTTGGTTTTTTTTGTTCTTTTTTTTGAGACGGAGTTTTGCTCTTGCTACCCAGGCTGGAGTGCAATGGCGCGATTTCGGCTCACCGCAACCTCCGCCTCCTGGGTTTAGGCAATTCTCCTGCCTCAACCTCCTGAGTAGCTGGGATTACAGGCATGCGCCACCATGCCCAGCTAATGTTTTTTGTATTTTTAGTAGAGATGGGGTTGGATGGTCTCAATCTCTTGACCTCGTGATCCACCCGCCTCGGCCTCCCCAAGTGCTGGGATTACAGGCTTGAGCCACCGTGCCTGGCTTTGCTGGTCTTTTCATCTATTCTGGGTATACTGATGATCTCTTAGGAGTTAGACAGAAGTAAGAGAAGTGTATTGTTTTATAATCTAGTAATAGCCTCTGGTTGCAGATCTTTCCTAGGAAATTTGAAAATGTTTTTACTCTTTTATGAAATAAAAATTTTAGTTTTATTGTATAAGGCTTTGTAGTTTGGGTTTATCTGAAGTAAGCCACCCATTCACTGGCATTGAGAAAAGACTGTGGAATGGTTTTTATGGTCACATGTCTTTTGAATCCAGGTTCGCTGGGCATATATCCTGGCTCTGCTAAACTGTATACATGACCTTGGGAACTTCCTTTACATTTCTTGGTCAGTTTCTTCATTTGTAAAATCAGTCTAGCAATAATGACTACTTCTTAGCTGTTTAAAGCATTTAGTGAGTTATTGAATGTTAAGTGCCTGACTCTTGCTTAGGACTCAATAAATGTTAGATATTACTATTAGTGACTACTGTGCAATGAGATAAGATTACCTACAACTGTGAAGATAACTAATTAAAACAATAATCAAGACTGGAAAACATATATTTATTGTGTACTATATAAAAACATTCCGTCAAGATAGAATAAAGCTATGAAGTCAGACAGATACAGGCTTGAAAATTTGGTATGTGTCATACTGCAGGTAACTTAGCTGTTCCTGAGCCTTGGTTTTATCTTCAAAATGGAGACAATTCTGCTTTGGAGGGCTGTTGTGAGCAGAAACAAGAACATTTGGAAGAGGCTGGTGTACTCAATACAAATGGCTATTATACTTTTTATTGCTACTTGCTTTTCTTGAACTAAATTTTAAATAGCAACTCCTCTTTTTTATGGAAATCTAGGGAGTCTGATTTAGAGGAAGTGAGTACATGCTGTAGAATGGCCCATATGCCATTTTGCTATTAGAATATGAGTCATTATTTCTAAACTTAGTATTGCTTTATTTGTATGTTCCTTGCTTTTCTCAGAATCCCTAAGTCAGATCCAACCATAAACTTTGGATCATAAAAGAAAGCAACTTCAATTAAGTGGATTTTTGGAGTCACTGCAAGTCACTCATATGAGGCTGTCTGACCAAGCAGTGATGTAAAGAGGGCTAATAGTATTTCAGTGAGCAGCTCTGGCATTTTATGTTTGTACAGAGTGCTTCTACTTAACAAAAGTTTTAAATTTGTATTATCTTTTGTATTGAGGTACAATTTACATATGGTGAAATGTGTAGATCTTAATTGTGCATTCCCTCAGTCCTGACAGATACATACACTTCTATTAAGATACAGAATATTTCCGGAAAGTGTCCTCGTGTCCCTTCTCAGTCAATCCTTTCTCTTTTCCTATGCAACCACTATTCTGATTCCTATTGCCTTTGGTCAGCTTTTCTTGCTGTGGAACTTCACATAAATGGAATCCTGCAGCCTTTTGTGTCTGTACTTTTTTCCTTACCATAATGCTTTTGAGATTCAGCTGTATTATTATATGCACCAGTGTAGTTTATTGTTGTTGGTGAGTAGTATTCCATTGTATGGATATACCAAAGTTTGTTTATCCATTTTCCGATTAAGAGACATTTGGGAAATTTCTGTTACTTCTTTTGATCATTATTGTAATGTTGTTGGAAGGTCAGAAGATTCTACTATCATATTCTCTAGATTAGGAACCTGGGATTCAGAGAAGTGAGACAACTCAAGGTAAATGGGGAACTTGAGAAGATAACCTGATTATCTGGGCCCAGATCCTCTGCTTCCTTTACTTTCTATTTTCTGAGCCCAGGTTATTTTTGGCCCTGACTAGGAGTTCTGCCCTGTCTGACACCAGGATTTGACCTGACCTGTCTTATCTTTGATGGAGAAAGACCTAGAATATCAAAATTTAGGAATGTAGCCCTAATCTGGGCTAACCCTTGCCTAAGCCTTAATTTCTTTCAGGTGCAGTGAATAGACTTCTTAGGCTGGCTCAAAAGTTGAGCAAGTAGAGGATCTGGATTACACCGGTTTAGATTACAGAATGCCTGAAGATATTCTAGGAGAGCTTTGTCTTTCATAGTGGCAAAGGGGAAATAGGATGAACATGGAATAATATAAGCGTCTCTTAAATCCTAGCTCTGCCACCCATTAGTTGTGTGAGGTTGGGTAACTCACCTCTCTGGGTCTCTTTCTCCGTCTGTAGAAGAGGTAGTACAATGCTTCCCTCTCAAGTCTCGGCAAGGAAGTTCCTGACACAACCTGTCCTTTCTGTGCTCGATCAAGGTTGGAATTAAGAGAGCATTGTAATATGATATTGATATTGCTGTGGGATTTTCATTGTATGGAAGAACGAATTCTTCCCTTTATCTCAGAAGACAATTCATTATTTATAGAATCTGAATAAAAATAGAAAAGTTAATTTGTCAGTAAAGTCGTCATAAAAATAAAGCAAGAGAGGGGCAAAGAGGAATGTGTTTACTTTAAGACAGCTGGAAAAATGAATATAGGTAAATAGGTCCTTTGAAGACACTCTCTTCCTTCTCAGGAAAAGGCAAACATATTTAGAAGGTTAATCCTTGTTCAGGATGCTGATTAGGCTGCGTGGTTAAATAAGGTCTGTAGGAGAACCAAAAGGAAAAAGGATCTTAAGGGAACCCCATTCCTGCCCTATTACGGATTTAATGAGGTCTCTGGGTCACAGTTTCTCCATCTGTAATCCCTAAATAGCACTTTTTAATCACATATCTCAGGATTTGATGTGAAATTTGATGTGTTCAATTTTCTCATAATTTATATAGTTGCAAAAATTTTGCATATAAAGAAGAATAGTATTTATGCGTATTTTATGTAATTTAAGGCAAAGTGTGCGGTCCAAGAAAATCTTACAGTTTATGAGAAGATTGACATGTGAATGACTTAACAGCAGAATACATTAAATGCTTGTCATAACAAAAATTGGCAGGAGTCTTAGAAGAACCTAGAGTTGGATGATTAGCTTGGTTCATAAAAGCTTCTAAAGGAAATTTCAAAGACTTAATGACATCACTGAGTTTTTCCAACCAATATTGAGAGAAGCTGGTATGAAATGATTCAAGGAGTATTTACTGCTCTGCAAAACAGCTTTGCCTTTAATGTTTCCCAAGAAAAGGACATACTTGTAAAGACTTAATGCTTGTCCTCGAGAGGAAAAACAATTTCAACAGTCAGGACATCAGAGTGGTGGAAAGTATTCATGCAGGAAACTGAATGATGTACTTTATTTGTGAATTTTCATAATTGGCATTGAAACACCGCTACTTTGCTGGCTCAGCTTTTTAATGTATCAGATCCTTTGTGTGTAGGAAGAAAGAAGAATAAATGTGCCTCTGAATGTGGGGTGCTCTCTTTTAATAAAGAAACTTGAGAGAAAAGAGACGACAATAGGCAAATATGAAATAAGTTAAAAGAAGTAGGCAGAAAATAGAGAAAACTGCATCTCATGCAGTTGACGTTTATGTGGCAATTGCTTGGTTTGGACTTTTTGTCGGAGAACTTTTTTTTCAGAATTTATTTTGTGTATCACTAGTAAGTGTTGCATAATTTCCATATTTATTTATACTATGGGTCTGACTCTCCTTCCAGACATAAAGGACACTTTGAATTTCAGGTGATAATGGAGCATACAATCACAGCAACCATATGATGAAAGTATGATTATTATTTTTATTGTCCCTGTGTTACAGGCGAGGAAACCGAAGGCAAGAAGTTGCCAAGTTTAGACAATTAGTAAGTAACACATGTCAAAGCTATGGTTATACGCTGTATACTATATTGAGCTTCTTGATGGTAGAGGTTCCATCTCATACTTTTTTGATACTCACTCAATGTCTGTAATAGAATGGTTGTTGAATAATCTACAAAATCTAAACATTTTTAAAGGGCCTTTTGTAAAACTACTAGTATCCTTAGATCCTTCCCCCTCCTCCACCCCCCCATATACATCATCAAGAGATGGAGATTACTAAGGAAAAATTTGGACTTCCTTTTTGGTCATATTAACTTTGACATTCAGATGTGGATGTTAGTTCAATAATTATATTTATGAAGCCAGAGCTCAGGAGATAAATCAGAACTGGAGAAATAAATCATGGTTGTCACATCAATGAATAGAAGCATTTAAAATCATGACTGAGATGAGCACTGTGACTGGGTGGCATATGAGTGGGAGAGGGGAAGCTGGAAATGTGAAGAGGGCTGAAGACTTAGCCCTGGGCTGCTATCGTTAGCAGCTGAGCAGAGAAGAAAAAAAGTGAGTTGGAAATGGAAAACTAGAGTGTAAAGTCATTGGTGCTAAGAGAATAAGGTAATTTGGGCAGATGAGTGTGGGCAGCTGGGTCAAAATGGTGTCAGAGGTCAGGTTAGATGAGGGCAAAGTATTGACTGCTTGGTTTGGTAAGAGTTGATTCATGTGGTGGGGAGGAGAGATGAGCAGAGTGGGTTGGACAGGGTACAGAAGGTGAAGATTAGTCAATTCCTTAGAGTTTTGCTGTAAAGGGGAGATGATGGGTGGGCTAAAAGCTGAATGAGGACATAGGGTCAAGAAAGAGTTGTCTTCTTTAAAAATAGATGACATTAAGGCATATTTATGCTTAAGGGAATAATCTGGTGGTGCAGAAGAAACTGAAGATGCAGGAAAGGGAGGGGAGAATTGTTGGAATGTTGCCTTTTCGGAGGCAAAGAGGCGAGCAGAACAGGACTTCAGTGCCAGAGGAGAGCGTCCATTGGGGAAGGGACACTCTTCCCTTGGTCCAGGAGAGAAGGCAAGGTATGTGATGCTGATGAGAACTATTCCTCCCTTACATTCATATTACTAAATTTGCAAGAGTTGATGGATTTTTGCATATGACAACTGATATACATTTCTTCCTCTGAATAAATACATATGTACAGTGAAAATATTCAGTCTGAAAGTGCATATAATAATTAGGTAAAATTTAATAGTTTTATGATCAGATCAACATTTTAGGTTGACCTTTAAACAGCTTACTCTTTCTATGGCTGCTATCTGAGGTTAAAGGAAGAAATTTGCCATAAAAATTAATGTAACAAAATCTTTAATAAAATGGCAAAATGTGAAAAATTTTAAATCAGGCATTATGTCTGTTTTTACTTAAAGAAATTAAATCTTTATAGGTATTATAGAAATAATGGTGGCTATAATCAATTGTAACTTCTGGGAACTGAAACCCCATCATGTTCCCAGTACCTTTTCAAACATTCATGCTGATCTTCATAGCAAAACAAACAAAGTAGTTTTATTACAGTTTGACAAGTGAGAAAACCGGCAGTGAGGTTCTGCAAGGTTTAATGATTTGCTCAAAGTCACCCAGCTGGTAAGATGATGTTTAAATTAAAACTTATTCTAGATCCAGAACTGCTTTTCCAAATGCAATATCCTGATATATAAATGTTGTGATGTAAATAATGTCCCTATTTAATGTGTGAAAAATTTTTTGCTCAAAAAGATGAAGTTGCTCAAATATGTATAGAATTGTATTTATTTGCACAAAATACTCATTTTTTTCTAGTCTAGTATAAATTCAGCTAGAAGGAAAGAAGGAAGGAAAGAGAGAAGAAAGGAGGGAAGGAGGAGAGGGAGGCTAAAACAGTGTCATTTGTCTGATTTATAGGGATAGCAAAGTCAGTGACTACTGGTGTGTCTTTTCACCCTATTATATACGCAAAGGATTACCATGTATTTTCTATTTCGAGTCTGACGTGATTTTTAAGTTATTTTGATCATCGTGATTTCACAACATTTGTAGGGTCTTTATATTTTAAAATGTGGTCAAAACATATATGTTTTCTCTGTTCTGTCAACTAGTGAGATGAGTATTTGTTGAGCTGTGTTTCTGCTTCTCTGCCTCAGGGCCTGTGTATCAGTTTATTCTCATGTTCTATAAAGAACTGCCTGAGACTGGGTAATTTATTTAAAAAAAAAAAAAGGAGGTTTAAATGACTCACAGTTCTGCATGGCTGTGGAGTCCTCAGGAAACTTACAATCATGGTGGAAGAGGAAGCAAACACATCCTTCTTCACATGGTAGCAGGACAGAGATGTGCAGAACAGAGCTAGTAAAGCCTGTTATAAAACTATCAGATCTTGTGGAAACTCACTCACTATCATGAGAATAGCATGGGAAACCCCCCTATCCTGCGATCTAATCTCCTCCCATGAGGTCTCTCCCCCAGTATGTGGGGATTACAATTTGTATTACAATTCAAGATGAGATTTGGGGTGGGAACACAGCCTAAGCATATCAGCCTGAGTGCTTCCCACCCCACTACCTTGGTTATAAAAGGTCAACCTCCTCACCTGGTCATTGGCAGCTAAGAGCTCAGTCACATTTTCACACCAGAAGCCTCCTTCTGGGCTTCCTCTTCCACAGCTTTTTTCTGCTAGGTGTCCACCATATTTCCTGGCTGTATAGCACTCACGGACCTTCGTGGCTATGTTTGGAGACTTTCCAGTTTATGGGTCCCACATTTGCAAGGCAGAATTCAGAAAACTTTCTTCAGCTTTCTTTACAGCTACTCACTCTGTCTCATGACAGCTGGATCAGAAGTGGGCAACTGATGGAGTCTGGATCCATGAGGAGTTCACGTTGCTAGAAAGGGTGGTGACCATGACTCCCTAATCTTAGGGGTGGCAGTGATTGCAATGTAAGGCTCCTGGCACAGAAATGGCTTTGATGGTGTGGTGGTGGCAGTGGGGGTAATTTCCTTATCAGGCCAGTTCTGTGGCGTAGTTTTGAGTGTTTTTCCTAGCAGTTCAGTCTTGAACCTGCTGTTCCCACTCCTCTAATGATTTTGTGAGTGATCTAATGTCCTTCTGAAAAACTGTTGTTTCCAAAGAAGATCATCACCAAAGGTACCCCTCCAATCTTCCTTCTACAATGAAGCCAGAACAGCTTCTTAGGAACATAAGTCTGACCCTGTGCCACCTAACAACCACAATTTATTGTCTTAATGTTGTTCTCAGAATATCGCATTTTATAGAACAGAGCATTCTATCTTTTGAAAGGCAGTTATTTTGTGAACTACCAGGAAAGAAAATGCTGCTATGTCACATCTTTGATTGTAGCAGTTACCCTGATTTCAGAGCTGTTGAAATGAGGTGGCGGGGGGCAGTGTCATAGAGTGAGGAAATGTAGTAACATCTCAAATCTTCGATGTGGCCTCCTAAGGCTGGTAATTGATGTGAGTGGCTCCTCCCTCTTCTCTTGTGCCCTTTTACTCTTTGCCCTCTCACTAACTCTCACAAGGGTCTTTTCTCCCTCCCTGAAAAGGTTATGCTTTCTTACATGTGCTCTCTGTTTCTCTTGCCCACTTCTTAAGATAATTACTATTCATTTTTAATGCCTTAGCTTAAATGTCATTTTTTCAGAGAAGTCCTCCCCAAACCCTCGCTTTCTTCATTCCTCTAATATTAGTATAGTACTTAGTGTTTGTTGAGCATTTACTATGTGTTACACTCAGTGCTAAGCACATTACGTATATTGCCTCATTTAATCCTCACTACAAACTTGCGAGATAGATGCTTCATAAGAGAAAACTGAAGCTTAGAACTGTGCAGTTACCTGCCCAACATTTCACAACCAGAAAACAAGGAGCACAAGCCAGGATTCACCCATGCTGGGCTTGTCATGCTGCTGGGCTACCTCTTTATTTACTTACATGTGATCAGCAAGTCTGTGATGTAATCTCAGATTGTACAATTGAAATTATTTATCTATTTGTATAAAACAATTATCTGTTAAGGATGTTAAATTCCATGAAGACAGAGACAGTAGATCTTGACCACTCTGGCACATATTAAGTGCTCAAGTTAATCTTTATTTTTTAAAGTTTAATTGTGGAAATTTAAAAATGCATGTAAAACTAAAAATAATAGTATCACAAGCCCTCATATCTCATGTTCCAGTGTCACCAAATATCAATTCCTGGCCAATCTTGTTTCATCCCTGTCCCCACCTCCTCTCCCTTGCTACTAGATTTTTTTGAAGCAAATCCCAAAGATCATATTATGTCACCCATTAGTATTTCTAAAAGGTAAAAATCATTTTTAGGGATATAACTTTAATACAATTACCACATATTTAAAAATTAACAATAATTCTTTAGTCAGTATTCAAATCATCCCAAATATTTCATGAATAATTTTTTCAATCAGCTCACTCCAATCCAAGCAAAGGCTGCACAGTGTAGCTGGTTGAATAGTTTCTGAAATCTCTCTTAATTTATAGTTTCTGCAGCCTTGTTTTTCCACCGTCTTGCAATTCATTTGTTATTTGTCCTTTAGACTTTTCATATTCTGGATTTTGCTGATTATATCATGGTGCTTTTGGTTTAAAATGTTTCTTTGACATGGTGTTTCTTGAAAATTGTTGATGCTTTATCAGATTCAGCAGTATGAAAGCAGACCCATGTACCATACAGCTCAATATTTTAAAGTTATAAAGCTCTGTTCAGACACATGACCATTCCCAGAGCTGAAAGAGTCATGTGCTCCTGGGGAAGAATTAATGCCCCAGTGGTCACCAAGATCTGCTGGGCACAACAGGGTGAAGTCAGGGACTAGTTTCTGACAAAACAGACTTTAAACCAACAAAGATAAAAAAAGACAAGGGCATTACATAATGGTAAAGGGAACAATTCAACAAGAAGAGCTAACTGTCTTAAACATAGATGCACCCAATACAGGAGAACCCAGATTCATGAAAAAAGTTCCTAGAGGCCTATAAAGAGACTTAGACTCCCACACAGTAATAGTGGGGGAATTTAACACTCCACTGTCAATATTAGACCATTGAGACAGAAAATTAACAAGGATATTCAGGACTTGAACTCAGCTTTTGATCAAGTGGATCTGATAGATATCTATCTACAGAACTCTCCATCCAAAAACAACAGAATGTACATTCTCCTCAGTGCCACATGGCATTTCCTCTAAAATCAAACATACAATTGGAAGTAAAACACTCCTCAGCAAATGCAAAATAACTGAAATCATAATTAACAGTCTCTCAGACCACAGCACAATCAAATTAGAACTCAAGATTAAGAAATTCACTCAACAGCACACAACTACAAGGGAATTGAACAACTTTCTCCTGAATGACTCTTTCGGGAAATAATGAAATTAAGGAAGAAATCAAAGAATTATTTGAAATCAATGAAAACAAAGAGACAATGTACCAGAATTTCTGGTATGCAGCTAACGCAGTGTTAAGAAAGAAAGTCATAGCACAAATCTCCTCATGAAAAAGCTAGAAAGATCTCAAATCAGCTAAACACATCCAAACACAACTAAACACTAACATCATGACTAAAAGAACTGGAAAATCAAGAGCAAACAAACCCCAAAGCTAGCAAAAGACAAAAAATAACCAAAATCAGAATGAAACTGAAGGAGATAAAAACAAAAAAAGTCTTCAAAAAAATAAACCCAGGAGCTGTCTTTTTGAAAAAAATTAATAAAATAGACAGACCACTAGCTAGAATAATAAAGAAGAAAAGAAAGAAGAATCAAATAGACATAATAGAAAATGATAAAGGGCGGGGAGAAGGATCCAAGATGGCCGAATAGGAACAGCTCCGGAGTGCAGTTCCCAGTAAGAACAACACAGAGGATGAGTGCCCACCACATTTCAAAACAAATTTTCACTGCCCGCAGACCAGGAGATTCCCACGCCGAAAAGCACCAGGAGTTTTCAGCATGGCGGTTTCAACCAGTGCTGGGTTGGCATACAGAAACTCATACAAATCTGAGAGGCCATTTCAACTGGTGCCTGGAACACCTGGGAGACGGAGATGCCCATTCAACTGAAAGGGAGGGGGCAGAGACAGGGAGCCAGGCGACCTGGCTAAGTGGGTAACACCCCCACAAAACAAGCAATCTGAAATGCTCTGGATTGAGAGTTTTGCAGTAAGCACAGCTAGACCCAGGAAGGTCCAGCCCAGTGGGGGGAAGGGCAACCACCACTACTGAGGCAGTCTGCCACTACCAAGGCAGTTCACACAGCAGCTGGGCAGAGCCTGCAGCAGCTCAGCAATGCCCCTCCTGGCAGACTGTGACTAATGAGTGTGGGGCAGGGCATCTGTGCAAAAAGGCAGCAGCACAACAGGAACTTACAAATAACGCTGACCTTTCTAGGACAGAGCCCCTGGGAAAAGGGGCGGTTATGAGTTCCACTGCAGCAGACTTAAAAGTACCTGCCCCACAGCTCTGCACGTAACAGCGGAGCCCCCAGCACAGCACTCGAGCTCCTACAAGGGACAGATTGTCAAGCAGCTCCCAACCCCTATATCTCCAGGGAGGCACCTCATAAAGGAGAGCTCAGGCCAACATCTGGCAGGTACCCTTCTGGGATGAAGATAACAGAAGAAGAAACCGGCAGCACCACTTACTGTTCTGCAGCCCCCACAGATGATCCCCAGGCAAGCAGGGTCTGGAGTGGACCTCCAGCAGTCTTGCAGCAGAGGGGCCTGTTAGAAAGAAAACTAAGAAACAGAAAGAAATGACTTCATCAACAAAAAGGACGTCCACTCAGAGACCCCAACCAAAGGTCACCAACTACAAAGACCACAGATAGATAAAAGCCATTAAGATGGGAAGAAACCAGCGCATAAAGGATGAAAATGCCAAAAACCAGAATGCCTCTCCTACTCCAAAGGATCACAACTCCTCACCAGCTAGGGATCAAAGATAGATGGAGAATGAATCTGATGAATTGACAGAAACAGGCTTCAGAAGGTGGGTAGTAAACTTCTCAGAGCTAAAAGAACATGTGCTAATCCAATGCAAAGAAACTAAGAACCTAGAAACAAGGTTAGATGAGATGCAAACTGGAATAAACAGCTTAGAGAAGAATATAAATGACTTGATGGAACTGAAAAACACAGCACGAGAACTTCAAGAAACATACGCAAGTTTCAATAGCTGAATTGACCAAGCAGAAGAAAGGATATCAGAGATTGAAGATGAACTCAGTGAAATAAAATGAGATGGCAAGAATAGAGAAAAAAGAGTGAAAAGAAATGAACAAAGCCTCCAAGAAGTATGGGATTATGTGAAAAGACCTAGTCTACGTTTGATAGGTGTACCTGAATGTGACGGAGAGAATGAATCCAAGCTGGAAAAACACTCTTCAGGATATTATCCAGGAGAACTTCACCAACCTAGCAAGCCAGGCCACCATTTAAGTCCAGGAAATACAGAGAACACCACAAAGATATTCCTCAAGAAGAGGAACCCCAAGGCACATAATTGTCAGATTCACCAGGGTTGAAATGAAGGAAAAAATGCTAAGGGCAGCAGAGGTTGCAGTGAGCTGAGATCATGCCACTGCACTCCAGCCTAGGTGACAGAGTGAGAATCCATCTCAACAACAACAACAAAAAATAGCATGAAATACAAAATTAAACACAATTTAATTTCTGTGAATATGAAAAACATATGTACACAAAATAAAAATGTCCATTTGTGAGAACATGAACAGATAACATAATAAATATGTTAGAATGACTGCCTGTGACCAGAGAAAGGGATGAAAGTGGAGTATGAGAATAAAAGATATACCAGTCAATCAACTAAGAAAGGGAGCTGGGTCAGCTCCCTTAGGCTTTTGAAGAGATAGCAAGAGATGCCAAGGCAGCAGAAAAAGATGTGGAAAAACTTGCGTTGCCTCCATTTCTCAGTATTTCCTTATCATCACATCTTATAATGCCTAACTCATCTATTCTCCATGAAAGCTGGCCCACAAAAATGTAATTAGTTAGAAGCAATCTCCTGATAGTACTTCATTTCCTGCCCAATTTCATGTGAAAATGTCTTTTCCCCTGCATCTGGAGCTTTGATGCTTTCCCGATATTCTGGCCAAACCTGACAATTCTTTGGTGATCTAAATGCTGGTATAGAGTTGATAACGTTATTTCTTATTACAAAGAAATTATGGAAAGCAAGCTCACATTTATATTGACAGTGAAGAAATCCCTTGTTTTGTACAGGGTCTATCTTAAAGCTTGTATATGCAGCTGCTTTCTGGAAGTGAAGATGCAATGTCTGTCCTTAACATTCATTCTGGAATTGGAGTTCCAGAACTACTGAAGTTATAGGAAGTAGAGCTAAATTACACTAAATGGAAAAATAGCACACATAAAGAGAAGAAGGAGCATAAGAGATTTAGTCGGGAGGTGAATTGTTTAATGAAAATCCCCCTTTCCATAATTTATAATAATGGGAATTCAACAGACTATTTCTGTCTCAAGACAATAATTAGAATATTTTATTTTACAGGCTTCAAAATTCAAAGGAGGTGTCAAAATGGAGGGTAGGGAAAAGGTAAGCTATGTTAACAATATTTAGTGTGATTTATAGGTGTTTTAAAATATTTTCTGTTATAGTAACTAATTAGATATCTTGGGTAAAAGAGTTTCAGATACTTTCCTTGACTTCTCTTGATTTATATGACTAATTCATCAAATTCACTAGCATTGCAGTTTCTTTACCAGTAAAGGAAGAAACTAAAGTATAAAAACTTTTTATTCATATTTCAAGATCTTTGAAGAGTAATAGTTATTCTCTTCAAGTATTACCCGCAGGGTCGTCATGACCTCCTTGGGAGAAGACTTCACGTGGATATTGTAAGCTTTGATTATCATCAGCTTCTATGCTAAAATATCTTGAAAAGTCTTTAGATCTTAGAAAGATCTTTTTTCATTCAAGTTTAAATAAGTTGATTTATAAATTTGAAATTTGAGAAGTTGGAATGAGAATGGGAAAAGTAGAAGCTCATGGTATAATAATAAGAAAATATCAACACTACCTGAAAAATGTCTTGCCCTCTCCCTGTGGGTCACTGTAAATCATTTTTAAGTCTTTATCCAAAATAAGAATGTTCAACAACATGATAAGCTCTCAGGAAGATTGTGAAAATACCAAAACTAAATCTCTAGATTAAAGTAAAATGACTATTGATTTGAATAATGTTATGTTTACTCTTTTGAACCTATCATCTTTATTATTTAAAAGTTGTATAGTGTGAGCCAGATTTTCTCATTTCAGTTTAAAAGATCCAAGCCATTCTTATGTCCAGATTCATCTATGGTTACTATGGAGATGCCTCACTTTGTGTGAGGATTTATATTGTCATCCCAAAAGCAAACGAATTTGGGCTACTGAGTGCTTTGAAGACTTTCTGAGGTGGGGGTTGGGCAAATATCAAAAGTTGCTGACATTTTAGTTGAGACTCAGTGATTCATGGACAGTGGGTCAGGGAGTGGGGGTTGGTTATGTTCTGCATATGACGGTGCCCATCTTCACAATTGTATTAACCTTGTACACACCACTGTTAGCTACTCTATAGCCATTCTAGCCATGTCCCTTTCTTTGATTTCAGAGAGCTGTTGAGTTTATAATCTGTGGCCAGTAGGCTTAGAATTATAAAACCCATGTCAGTCTACTTAAAGTAAATGTATGGGAAATGAATATGAATTTAAAAATGTATTGGTGGCCAGAAAATCTGAGTTTTGGATCTCACTGAGTGGTCCTGAACTGTTCCTTTCATCCTAAGGCATATGAGGCATTAGATTAGGCTGGATACATCAGGGTTCCCAAACATTTCTCTGAAGTGCATCCAAGAGTTGGTATATTTATCTTCTTCTCTTTTCTCCCCAAGTCCCTTTCATAAGCTCCCAAACACCCCAGAACGAAATTAATTTTTATTCCTGTATTTAAAATGAAAAATCAGAGTAAAATTTACATTCTACTGCATGATATATTGGTATGTTTTGATATAAACTACTTCAAATGAATAAGTTATCTTAAACTTTCCAGTAAAATAGATGCACAAGAACAACATGTCCTGTTACCTGTGGCTCTGAGTACAGTACAACAATACTGCCTTATATGCCTAGTGGTGCACAAAATTCCACCTGAGGAACAGCTGAAAATTATACTTTAGCAGAGCTGTGAAAGACGATTGCCTCTGGTCCTATGTGATGTCTGAAATCCCACCATATGAAATGATATTCTTTAATCTCTGTGTTCTCCTTGACAGTGCAGCTAGAAGAGGGTGTGTGATAAATTATTAATGCCTTAGCAGTGGCTAGTGATAGCTCAAAGACAACATACATTTATAGTAATAATAGTTACTGGTATGGTTTGAATGTTTTTCCTTCCAAAATTCATGTTGAAATTTAACCTCCAATTTGTCACTATTGAGAGAAAGAAAACAATTAAAGGCCCTTTATTAGAGGGACTTTAAGAAGCAATTAGGCCATGAGGGCTCTGGATTAATTCACTCATGGATTAATGGGTTAATGGATTAATGAATTAATGGGCTATCCTGGGAATAATGGGCTATCAAGGGGGGGGCAGAGAGAGAGAGAGAAAGAGAGAGAGAAAGAGAGAATCCTTATAGGGAGGGAGCAGCGGGATTTTAACCCTTGAGTTATTCCCCTCCCCTTTCATGTTCTCTCCCAATGAGAGTAGTTCTTTCAAACTTCCTCTGGAGTGATTGATCTTTGACTCCAATACTGGATTGGCAACTTGGTCCACAAGTCTTGAGTTACAGAGCCCCTCCTCCCAGAGTCTTCAGGAACTTTTTGGACAAAGGAACCCACGTGGATTTCTCTACCTAGCCCGTGAGGGAAACCCAGACAAAGAACTTTACATTTCAAACCCTTCTGGTTTCCAGTTGGACGGGTGGAGCCGGGAAACTTCTGCCTTTGAAAGTATGCCCCTCGCTGAGCTGGGAAGAGAAGTTTTTTCTTTAACACAGTCCCTCAATACCACTGCCAAACCTGGAACTAGGATTTGAAGTATCATCTCGAACTGCATTTATCCATTATGTGTCCTGTTCCTGTGGCTTTTTCTGTTGTGAGGTCTTTCGTATGTCTGAATTTCTTCTGCTTCTCTGGCTCAGGCCCTTTCTGGAGAAGTATACTAGCCTTCCAGCTTTAAATAAAATTTATGGAGGTAATTGTTTTGGACTGAGCTTCTGCACTAGGTGTCAGCAGACCAGACCAAATAAGAATGGGGTCACTCATGGTAAATGCCATGTAATGAAACTTAGAAATAGGCCAATTTTCCAAAAAGCCGGAGATTCAGCAATACCCATTGTAAAGGGGGTTAGTCAACCTGAGCCAGCATTACAGAGAAACCACGCTTTAACCCTATGAGGAAAGTAACTTTGAAAAGACAAATTCTCTTCTTCTTTGTTTCTGCTTTTATTTATTTTTTTTTTTTCAGGCTTTTCTGCCTATAAAACCCATGCCTTCTGCTCAGTCCATTGGAGTACCTTTCTATTTTGTAAATGAAATGCTGCCCAATAAAGGCCAATTAGATCTTTAAACTTAATGTGTTTAAATTTTGTTCTTGACACAGTTGATCTTTCTGCTTTTAAATACTTTCCCCTCCAAATATTCTGGCAGGTTGTCTATAGGACAGTATTACTAATTCATTAATCAATTGTACTATCCTTGCACAAAAGCCTTTACCAACCGTCTGTGACCCATTGAATCCAGTTAAACTTTTCCCCTTGGCATTGAAAACCTTCTTGATCTTGCCTGACCTACATGTCTGGGCTTATCTACATAGCCACTGACATAAAACCTACATACCTGACAATCTAGTTGTTTTACATTTCTTCAGGCATGAGGAAATGTAATGAAAGAATTTTGTTAAATTGTGAAGTTACCTTTGCCGTTTGATAGTAATCAGCTCAAGGACAGATAATGTATCTTGTACATTCTTGAATTTATTCCCCAACACAGCAAACAGCCCTGTGGAGATGCCAACTAGAGATGCCAATTTTAGCTCTTCCATGAACTCCTGTGGCAAGAGGGAGGCAGCATGCAGGGCTTAGATGTAAAAGTCGGTCCCTGATGGCATGGGACAAGGAGATGTGAAAGAATGAGCAAGGGATTAAAAGTTATGGGCAAAATTGGGAGAGCTGGTGCTGAAGACACATTTGATCTGTTTAAACTTCCTGGAAGGGTCAGGTCACTGTGAGCACTCCTGATGTTTGCTGGGTTGGGGAAACAGCAGGCTTGCAGACTAACATGTGATGGGAAAGAAATGCTGACCAGAGTTTAAACCAATGTCAAGGAGAGGGCTCAGGTGGGTGGAACCCAGTGAAAACCAGTACACTGTCACTAGGTTGAGAGCTGGGAGGGATGAACCAGGCTGATAACCAGCTTTTCGGGGTGGGGAACAAGGGTGCTGCTGTGTTCTGAATGCTCCCCAAAATTCATGAGTTGAAAGTTAATTCTTATTGTGGTTGGACTAGAGGTGGGGCCCTTTGTGAAGTGATTAAGTCATAAAGGTTCCACCCCACCACAATGGATTAGGGAACTAAGAGCTGGAGGAAACTAGCTTGGGCCCCTTTTGTTCTTCTGCTCTTCTGCCATGTGAGAACACAGGGTTCATCTTCTTTTTGTCCTTCCATCTTTCCTAACATGTTGAGGACATCTAGAGTGCCGTCTAAGAGGAACAGGCCCTCACCTGAAACTGAACCCACCAGCACTTTGATCTTGGACTTCCTAGCCTTCAGACTGTGAGACAATAAAATTTTATTCTTTATAAACTATCCAGTTTCAGGTATTTAAAAATAGCAGCACAAATAGACTAAGAAAGATGCCTAACAAACAGCAAAGATAGCCTTGGCAGGAGGGATTGCCTAAGATTAAGGCCTCATTTTCGTGCAAAATTTTGTTATGCATTAAGTTACTATTTCCCAGTGTCTGAGGAATTTTGGCTATTGTTTCCATGTGTGTATGTGTGTGTTTAGCTGGAGCCTAACAAAAGAAGGCTGTGGATGATGCCACCACTTCCTCACTTCCTGTAGCTACACACCAAAGTGCGCTAGGAGAGGGGCTGTTAACTCCAGAGCCACAACCTGGGTCTGGGAAAGCTCTGATTTCAAACATGCTGTCGATTCTTCCCCAATTAGCATTAATTCTTTATCATAATCTATGTCTTTATTTTTGCTGCCTACATGGCCCTTTTCTATTACACCATCATTCTCATGGAATGTTCTTTAAATACAAACAGAGCCTTTGCTTCCTAAGAACTTTCTTTTGCACTTTGCCAGAGGATCAACCTTCTGAATGAAATCAAAAGTGAAACTTTGTGGAGGAGTGTGGGATCCAGAAGCGTAAGAATTCTCTTGTTCCTAGCTGTGGGTTCTCAGCACAATAGTAAGAACCCTTAAAATGATAATACTTCAAATTTCTCTTGAAAAATTTTCATTTATAGTAGAATAAATGTCAGGAGATGTTAAGTGTTTGTTACTAAGAATAGAATATTTCCCAGCTCCAAAATTTATTTTCAAAGCAAAT